GTTCAGCCTGGAGAAGGAAAAACAATGAAGGCATATGATAATTTTGTTCAAGTGAAGAGATTACATTTCTTCTATTTGGCTCTAGAGGGCAGAACCAAGAGTGGTGCATGGAAGTTGGAAAGAGGTCACTCTATACTAGCGAAAAAAGAAACAAAACAGCTTGCTAATAACTGGAGCTCCCCCCTCCCCAAATAGAAATGGGCTGCCTTGATAGGGAGTGGCTTCCCCTTCCTTGGAGGTCTTCAAGTAGAGGGGATGACCATCTGTTTAGCATTCCATGGAGCACTGACTGATGGATCTGGTGCCTCCTTGAGTACAGAGCTGAGGGGAGATGTGTTAGCGGCCCCTGCCTAGTGATGACTGATCAGAAAGAAATGAAAAACATCTCTGGAATTAGAGGCGAAATTGAGGTAGTGATGAGCAGGTCTTATGAAAATGTGAGTTATTGTTACCATGTAATTCAATGAAAAATTAGGACTCAGTTTTGAGAGCACTTTGTTTCCCATATTTCTCTTTCATATCCATCTTGCTTAGAGTCATGGATGTACTTATAGTTCTCCCAATTAAATGATTGGCTAATTTATTTGGGAGCAAAAACTCAGGATCCTGATTGTGGGGTTGCCTGCCAGCCTGAATGAACTGTGCCAGGCCCACAAGGCAAGAGAGCCTGTGCTATGTGACATCATCAGTGACTTGGATGAAAGCATAGATGACAGTCTTATTGAACTTGAAAAGCTGGTTGGGATAGCTGTCTTGCTGGCTGACAGAGGCAGGACCCAAAAAGATCAAGACAAGTTAGAACACTGGCCAAAGAGAATATCAAAATGAAGAGGCTGAAATGGCAGGCCTACACTCAACAAAAACAACTTCTTAAGGACATGGTGAAGGAAGTGTGTTTGCCTGAAGAAGATTTGGGCATGGGGTGGGGGGAGGGGGCGGCAGGGAGGAGAGACCTACAAGCTCAAAATAAGCCAAGCAACTGAAAAATTTAATGGGATCTTCAGCAACATTAAGAGGCCAAGGAGCCAGGACTAGGGAGGTGATAGCTCCACGGCCTCCTGGCCAATCAGCTGACATCTGGAGCATCATGCTTCTCTATGGCTCAGGCGGCCACATTTTAGCAAGGACATTGATAAACTGGACAAAGTCCAGAGGAGGACAACCGATCAACACCTGTTCATCTATGGGCATTCATTAAGTACATGTTGGGTTTGAGGTGATACAGAAAACAAAAATGGTGGTCCCTGGCCTCAAGGAACTTGAGTTCTGGCCATCTCTCCACCGTGTTACCTGTCCTCTATCATCAGCCTTGGCTCCCACCAAGCTCTAGCAGCACTTCCCACAGTGCCCTGCACAAAGTAGAACCTTAATAAAGTGCTGTTTGATTGTTGACCATCTGTGGGCCCTGGGCTTTGGTAGATGAACCTTATTCCTCTTTCTTGTCAAGCATCAGGCCTCTGTGCCACTTCTGAGCTGTCTTCACATGCAGCCCAAGCAGGCTCCCACTCTCCCTCCCTCTCCACTATTTAAGCTCCTTGAGGGCCAGGACTCCAGTTTGTTTGTATTTGTGCTTCCAGCACTGAAGACAGTGTCTGGCACATAATAAAGGGGCAGCAAATGCACTCTGTATCATCTACCTATGTAATCCCATGATGAAGGCCTTTGGTTCATGCCATGTGAGGAAGAGCTGAAGGAACTGGGTATGTTTATCCAGGAGAGGGGAAGATTTAAGGAAAAGGGATTAGAGCAATTCCATTTGGTTCCAGAAGACAATTAAGACCAATGGGTGAATTTTGTCTGGACAGATTAAGGCCCAGTGTAAGCAAGGAAAATCCTCTTGACAATTAGAGTTTCTACCAGGAGAGTGAGCTGTATCCCAAATCGGGGATGGGGACTCCCCCCTTCCTGTAAGTCTTTTAGCCAAGGCTGGATAAGTCTTTGATGGAATGCAATGGAGAAGATTCTTATTCTGGCATGTGATTCTGTGGCAGTGGGAGGTGAAAGCCAGTCTCAAGCGGATCAGTGACCTAGCTATTGGTGAGATCAACAGCTACCAGAGTTCTTAGACTTCTAAAATCCCCTTTTACAGATGAGAAAATCGAGGCCCAAGAGGTTGGGTTATTTGGCTCCTCTGGACCCCTAATCCCTCAGAAGGGGCCCCTCACCGGCTGTGAGACATCCTAAGGTTTTGTCCACATACGGCGCTCGATAAAAACGTATTGCCTGAATGAATGGACAACTGTGAAGCCCACGACAATTAAATGAGCTCGACAGAGGTTTGGCCTCATCTTGCCCTAGTCCTGTGCTTCTTAAAGCAATGCCAAGCACATCAGAAAGAAACAATGCTTTTACTATGCCTCCAGAGCCCAACAGGGAAAATGCAGCTTCCACCAACCCTCTCTCTAATTTTAGTGCAAGGGGGCAGCTTCAAGCCTAAGGAGTCAGGCTTTGCCTCCCCTCCCTTCTCCGCTTTTTATAGGAGCCATATTTTTCACAGGATTGCAAAGAAACTGGTGAGGAATTGGAAGGCACTCCCTGGTTTTACAGATGATAAGCATAGATGAAAGTGGGGCAGAAGATGCAACTAGGACATGGTGACTAGAACTTTGCCCCAGGGCTCTGAAATTTAGAGGGCTCTGATAGCTTTAGCATTCCTTCTTCAGTTAGAAACCACTGAGATTTGTGCTTGGCTTCGTTGTTGTTTTGGGTCAGGGAAATTATTTCATTGGTGCAGCATCTTTCAGTGCCTCCTACCCAGTTCAGGTTGGTACTTGTTGGACAACTTACAGCCTTACGGACTGCCCAGGGCAATGAGAGTCCCTAAGTGACTTGGCCAAGGTCATCCAGTCAGTATGTGTCAGAAGCAGGTCTAGGTCCCAAGGCTTCCTGACTCAGACACTGGCTTTTTATCCACTCCAAGAACAGTCAGTGAAAAGAGAGAAAGCTACCAGATGGAGCTCGCGCTCTCTCTCTCTCTCTCTCTCTCTCTGCCCCTTTCTATCTCCATCTTTCTCTCTCTGTGTCTCTCTCTGATACTCCCTTCCCTTTCTCCCTGGCCAGGTACCTGACTCCCTATCAGTACTCTCCCAGTGTCTCTGGGTACTCCTCACCTCCACCCTAACTGAATTTTCCCTAAACATTGATTTAAGGGCATAGGTTTTTTGTTTTTGCTTTTTTGTTTCCCTCCCCACCCCCTGCAATATTCTACCTCTGCTATGGGATTGGGTCAATTTGGATACGACAATTAAGTGAAAGAGTTTCAGCCTTTGTTTTTAGAAAGAATTTTTTTTTAAGTATGGGAAATACTGATATGAATTTCTTTGCTCTCAGAGTCAGTGCTGGCAGATAAAGGCATTTTTTTTTTCTTTTGAAGGAAGGAAGGTATACTCCTGATCTGCTATTTCCTCTGACATCAAATAATTACCCTGAATGCAGCCGGGCTGAGCCATCTCTAAGTTTCTTACTAGGAATTTCTCTCTAGGTTTTTTTTTTTTAAATGAGCCACGTGACGGTTGGGACAGGCTCCGAAGTGCCCACACCCAGGGCCTGGGAGCTTCTGCCGAGGCTCCTGCCCTTACCCCACTTCTTCTATATCCTCAATCCTTTCCTGGGCTGTTTGCAAAAACCGGGCTCTGGGGCAGGAAAACCAATCCAACTGTCACTTTTGTTTGAGGCAGTTGCAGGTGATCAAAGGTACAAGGTCTCCCGACCTGCCCCTGCCACTCTGGGTTTATTTCCAGCCGCTTTTTGACCCCCTCAGCATAATCCCAGACTTTGGTCTTCAATTGGTTAAAAATTGATAGAGGGGAGGCCAGCTTTTACTTGACTTTGCCAGTTTAAATTTTAACACTCCTCTAGCTCCAATGACCCCCTCTCCTTTACTTTTTTCGGATCTTAGGTCTGGAGTTCTTTACCCAGGCCCCACGAATGTGGGCCCCCAGGCTGGGGAGAAACAGTCCCTCTGCCCTGCTGCGTCCATCTCCTGGTGCCTGGGCAACCCCAGAACTAGGGTTTCAGGCCCCTGAACGGCTCTTTACAGGAGGGTGAAATAAACAAGTCACTGTGGGTTTGCGAGTGGAAAAATACCAATGCCGTCCCTGGGCACATTCTTCAGCCCTCCGTGCAATCGGCGGCTCCTTCCCATAGGCTTCTGCGCGGTCAGGTGTACAGAAGGCGTGTGCGAGGAAGAAAGCAGAGGAAAAGAAAAAAAAAAGAGGCAGGCCTGACACGCAAATCCAGTTTTTCCACTCCCAGTCTATGCCTAGAGAGCCCGGCAGGCCAGGCCCCAGCGTGCTTGGTTTGCAAACAGCCGAGGTGCGTTCCTGCGCTGTGGCCTTTCCTCATGCTAGGGGTTCATGGGAATTGAAAGATAACCCTGTTATCTGAAGAGACAGGGCCCCCATGCCATAAACAAGAGATCCCCTCTCCCTCCCTTTCCTAATTATTTCTCTATTTTAAGCACTCACCATGCATTTCCTTTTCATAAATAAGTCCTGGGAAGTTTTGGAAAATTAATGCACTGGGGAAAACTGGGTTGGAAGGGTTTCTGAAAACAAAACCACGCATACCCGCACACGAGGGACACACAACTGTCTCCAAGTAATCCAGCTCAAGGCAGCAGGCAAATGTGTGAATTGAAATCAAGTTCAATCCTCTTTTCTGGAGGTCTGAAATAGTCCCTCCAGTCCCAGTGTGCTCTGATGTCCGCCGAGCTGTCTGTCTAAAGCCTATTTTAAACAAAACGTTTACTTCCAAGGGACAGCAGAGCAATGCTGAAGTTTGCTTATGATAATGGAAGGGGGGGGGCCCCCGGAATGTGATTTCATGTAAATCCAGGGAATGAATGGGCAAAACCTGAAGCCAGCCTACTCCTGAAGCACTGACGTGATATTGTGGCCCAAGGGAGGCGAGCAGCCCCCAAGCCCGACCTGTCATCAGAAGGCAAATACCAGTTACAGTCCCAGTCCCCAAAGAAATACACAAATAACACAAAACGGAAACCCAGATGACCCACTGGCAGATTTATTTACTCCTCCTTTAAGAATAAGGGTCTTCTTCCTTGAAAATTATACTGTTGCATAAAGCCCTACTTTAATGCTATAGAGTGCTATTCAGCATGACAGGGGAGGGAGAGAGATGAAAAGACATGGCTTGAGTAGTGGTAAATCCTTAGGGCAGGCAGGAGGAAAGCAAGTCTGAAGTGGCAGTGTTATCAGGGAACTGTGCATCTATTGGCCAGGAGTTCCCACTTCTATTTGTTTTGGTGAAGAGTTGGAGGTGGGGGGACTGCATGGTTGAGACAAGGGTGGGTTTCCTTTATAAAAGCGACTTTATCTTCAGTAACTGAGCTGGAAGAAACTGACTGTGAAAATCTGTCCTTTTCTTTAAATAGATGTAATATTAGGAGTAGCCCATTGGCATTTCTATTAAAGTTTATATTTACCCGGCAGCTGTGAGCAGGACCCAATAGAACCCTCCTCCCTCCTTTACCCTCCCCTCCCCCCCACAGAGGAACTGCTTTCTGCTGTTCTATTTTGAGTGGCAGTGCTCAGCAACTATTAATTCATGACACTGGAGCCCACATTCCATCCCCCTCCCAATCTGAGCAGGTGACCCCGACCCACTGAGGCCTAAGTACTGTTGAAAAGTACTTTCTGTCTTACCTCTAGCCCCTCCTCAAGTGTTACTGCATAGGCACTCCTGAGGTGTCAGGGGCTGCCCTGGTCTGCTACTAATGATACTTCCTCTCTGGTTTGTAGCAGGGAGAAACTGGAGGAAATTCTGGAAGGAATTGCCACAGAACAGAATGGCCAATGTCTGCATTCAGGCCTTGCAAGGGCTTGGGGGTGGGAGTGGGGGGAGATGGTGAGGAGAGGGGTGCAGATCACCTTTGTCAACAGAATCTGTGTTCCTATGGCTGTTTGAAACAGGAGTGTTTACTTCAGAGACCACAGGGCTCTTTTCCATTCCTAGGGTAAAGAGAAGTCAGCTCACTTCATAAGCTGAGCAGGAATCTTAAATTATTTTCTAAATTTTAACAGACTTTCTTCTTTTTCTTTCTTCTCCTTTTTGTAAAAACAAATAACCTACCTTCCCTGCTAATCCTCACATGCCCCACCCCAACTAAGGTCCAACTAGAGATTTAATAAATAAAAACAAGAAGCAGCCCCTCGGATCCTGCAGATGTTGGCATAGGCCAGTCCTCTAACCTGACCATTGCTGTCACTCCAAAGGCCCAGACTCACGACTAACAGAGGTGATGGAATGGTGAATTTCATTCCCCCAAATATCCCTCCCTCCTTGTCTTCCTGAGCTTGAGGAGGTGGGGGCTGGAATGGAAGAACACGCATCCAGGCTCTCACTCTGCTCTGCAGTGCCCCCATGGGGCTGAGCCCAGAGCGGCAAGAGGGAAAAGGTGCAGGGGACCTGCAGCAGGTCAGTGTGGAAAGGGGAAAGTGTGGGGCCTGCAGGGAGTTTTATGAGGGATTTCCCAGCAAAATCACTACACTGGTGGGAAAATGCTGAGGAGTGAACAGGTATACAGCCAAAGGTCTGTCTTCACCTGCTTTGGTAAAGAATCTCCAAATATATACTGCAGATAAAAGATGCAAGGGGGAAAATGCAAAGAAATAAAACAGAGAAGTAAATATACATACATACAAACACACATACAAACATACATACATACACACATATGTATATGTTGTATTTCTGGCAAAAAAGAAATATTGAAACTCCATGAAAGTAATTGCTGTAGGACCAACCAGGAAAAGCTGATTAGGACTTGGGGGGGTGGGGGTTCCAGAGGGAAATGGACTGAATTTTATTTCCAACAACGGTGGGTGGATTAGGCCTCTGCATTTCCCTAAGAACACTTTACAAAGCATTGCTTTCTTCAGAGACCCATCTGTCCATAAGTACTAGACTCTTCAGATTTCACATGGTCACACCCCAGGCAATGTATTTGTTTCTCTCCGGCCCTTGAGGAAAACACCACAGTCTTCCCCAGAAGTGGCTCTGATCCTTTCTAAAAACCCAAGCCTGGTGCACTCTGCCGGGTACTGGGATGCAGTATCCAGAGAACGTCCCAAGCCTTCTCTGATGCCTAACTTCTCATGGGAGAGCCAGCAATATCGACGTGCCAGGGGGGGGAAAAAACGTCCAGAGCTTTCACTTTCATAGCCCTGCCCCCTTACAAGTCAATATAAAGGGATTTTTTTCTAACTTTATGGGGGTTGAGGGGCAAATGGGCATAACTTTGTAGAAAGGCTACAAACCTTCAGACATTTCTCTGTTTTTCAATGAGTTGCCTGAAGGAATAGGACTTAGGATCAGCAGAAGCAGGGTACACTTCGGCCTCTTATGGGGACTTCTGGTCTGAACATTTGGAATTAAGTGTTGAGGAATCTGAAATATCATTAGTTGCCATATGTATTAAGAAACAGAGACAGAAATCAAGGAAGAATCTCCTTCATCTAGGGATGAGTAGGAGGGGAAAAACCCCAACCACATTTAAATAGAGAAACTGTCAGCTAAGAACAAAAACAAGCCAGGCCCCACAGTGCACTTGGGCAGCGTGCTGGCTTTAAAAAAAAAAATCGCCTCAGTAAGCCCCCCTCCCATAAATCATATGTAAAGTGCACAGCCCTTCGGGGCTGAACTGGGCTGGGCTAGGCTGGCCCGGGCTGCCGTGGAGCACGGTCTGTTCCCAATCCATGCTCAGCCTTCTTGATCCCGGCCAAGCAGGCCTGGAGAATTCCCTCTCACTGTTCTCTGTTCTCTCCCAACTGCTTTTTTTTTTTTACAATGCCCTTGATTCACAGGAAAACCAAGAGAAACCAAAAATAGAGATGAATTTATTTGTTCCCGTGATTTGTCGTCCCCCCTCCCCCTTCATTAAAACATGAAATCTATTTCACAAGAGTCAACAAAAACAGTAAAAGAGCAAACCTACCACTTACAGTCCTGAAAAGAAACAAGAGAACAGAGCCCTAATCCTCAGAGTATGTGATCCTAGAGCAGAACGTTCCCCCTTTTTTAAAAGACGGGGGGGGGGGGCGGAGAAGAGAGAGAGTGAGAGAGAGCAGCGGGATTTAGAAAGATGAGAACATAAAATACGTCTGCCCGCGGGAGGGGGCCACATGGAGAGGGCAAGGGTGGGCAGAAAGATTACCATCTACGACCCCAAATTACGCTTCTTCCAGAAGGTTACAACCTAATAAAAGCCCCCCTTAAAATGCTGGAAGCAGCCTATCTTTAAAATAATAATGATAATAATGAATAATACCTAACAACAGCACCCGCAGAGAAAATCCAAAGGCACCCGGGGCTCACGGGCTTTTTAATATAAAAGCAGAAACTTGCAAGAGGCTAAGTTGGAAGTCAAAAAAAAAAATTTACCCCCCCCATAAACCAACCAACAAAAAACCACCAGCAACAAAAACCCCAGCCTCCACCCCCACGCCTCCGACCCAAAGGCCAAAGCTCGGTCCCCCAAGAACCCCAGGCCAGTACCTTCCCCGCCCCCCCCCGCGCCCCCGCCTCCCCAAAGAGACCCGGACCACGAAGACCCACCAAACACGGCTTGGCCAATGTGCTGAGAGTCTAGCTGGAAAGCTCTCCCTCTCTGCTGTGTCCTCTCTCCCCGTGCCCTGGATGCGTGTTTATTGTTTGGCTCGAGCTGCCTAACCTACATCTGGGCAGGCGGGCTTCCTCCGGGGGCTCAGAGCCCCTGCCCCCCATTTGGTGCCCTGAGCTCGTGGAGGTGGTGGTGGTGTTTATGGGCGCGAGACAGTGAAGGAGCCCCAGACCCCGGGCAGGCGGCGCACGCTCCCCCCTCTTATGTCACTGAATAGCAAATTAGTTCTCAGAATTCCAGAGGCCGAGCTTTGCTACATTGAAGCGGCCGACGTCACAGAGGAGGCGCCCACGTGACCGCGACCGAGCGGGACGCACCATCTTCCCCAGCACGGGGGGGGGGCCTCCTCCAGACCCCTCGGAGATCCGGCAGGACCCTCCTAGTCGAGGGCTTCCGCGCCCCTAAGACCCCGAGGCCGACTTTTGGCTCGCAGAATCCGGGGGTCTGAGGGGCGTGGGGCGGGGAGACGGGGCCCCAAGGCTGCGGCGGTGACAACGGGTCCTCCCCTGCCGCGTGGCAGTGGTAGAGTCGGCAGCTCAAATTCCGAGAATTGAGCTCTGTTGATTCTTAGAACTGGGGTTCTTAGAAGTGGTGATGCAAGGAGTTTCTAGGAAAGCCCGGAGACCAGGTGATTATTGCTGCCGCTGCCGCTGCTACTCCTGCTGCTGCCGCCGCCGCCGCCGCCGCCGCCGCCGCCGCCGCCGCTGCTGCTGCTGCCGGTGCTGCCGGTGCCGCCGCCGCCGCCGCCGCCGCTGCCGCTGCCGCTGCCGCTCATGATCATTATGATTTTACCCTCTAATTAATGCCTTTTGTTTTTTGTTTGTTTTGTTTTTTTTCGTTGTTTTTTGCTCTTGCCAAATGCTTTGGCTCCAAGTTTTCGATGTATATTTATTGATATATAAATATATATTTATTTATTTTTCTTTGTCAGGTGTTAAAATAAATGCAGACGATTAGTCCCATTTCTCTCCCGCTCTAGGATGTAGATTTATATATTTATATATATTTATATATTTATTTGTTTCTGTTTTCTTTTGCTCTTGGAGTGGATCGGGTGGTTTTTCCTCTTTCCCCCCCTCCCCCCGTTGTTTTGGTCTTCGTAGAAGCCGCGGGGGATAGGCTAGGGGAGGCGAGAGGGGAGGGGAGGCTGGCGGGGAGGTGAGAGGAGAAAGGACGAGGTGTTGTTTTGGGGGTGATTTGTGAACGTCTGTCTGTAGGGTGTCTGCCACGAGCCGGGCAGAGAGCGCACGCTGGGCTGCCGCTGCTGCTTGCCGCTGCTGCTGCTGTTTTCCTCGGGGGCTTGTGCTGTTACGGGATTTGTGTGGCTTTTTGCACGGGGCTGTAACCTCCCCTCCATTCCTCTCCTTCCCCGTTTGATTTTGGTCTGCAGCAAACTGCCCTCTTTCTCCCTGGCTCCTTCTCCCTTCCGCAGGCTCCCGGGCCGCCTTCCTCCCCTCCCTGGCCCGCGCGGCTCCCTGCCCCCTTTCCTGGTCCCTCCTTCCCTCCTCTCTCTCTCTCTCTCTCTCTCTCTCTCTCTCTCTCTCTCTCTCTCTCTCTCTCTCTCTCTCTCTCTCTCTCTCTCTCTGTCTGTGTGTCTGTCTCTCTGTCTCTCTGTCTCTCTCTCTGTCTCTCTCTCTCTTCTCTTCCTGCCTTCTCTGTCTTCTCCGTAACTCAGGAAGGAGAGCTGCTGGCTGGGTCTGCCTGCGCCCTCCTCCCTCTCTGCCTGCCTGGCCTGCCTGGCCCTCTTCCACCAGCCTCAGCCGTGGAGATTAGATTAAGTGACACCGGGCAGAGCGGAGATTTGGGGGAAAAAATGTGCAAGCAAACTCCTTTGGTTTTGTCATGCACCCAGATGAAGTGTCGTGTCGATTTCCTTTCATGGCTGGGTTCTTTTTAAAGAGAAACAAATGGTTTTGGGTTTTTTTGTTTGTTTGTTTTTGTTTTTTAAGTTGGGTGTTTTCCCCATTTCTATTAAGGCTTTTCTTGCATAAAAAGAATTGCAAAAAAAAATATTCCAGACATTTTAAAAGTTTTTGCTCGGCTACATTCAAAGAGACCCGACGACCTCCCCCCCAGCTCCTGCTCCCTGTACTCTAACCCTCAGGAGAAGGCTGGATGAAGGGCAGGCGTTTGGGGGGAAAGAGAAGGGGGGGGCGTGAGCCTTTGCACCTGCGGTGAAATTGACTTGTATGGGGAGGGAGGAAGGTCCTGCAGCTTTGGCAGCACCCCTGCGGGCTTTGGGGCGCTGGAGAGGACTTCTCCCTCCCGCAGCCGGTGGTGCGGGGTCTGGGGCTCTGCGTGACTCGGGCTTGGCTCCCTTTTTGGCTGTTTTTTGGGGGGGGAGCCATCGCACCCTTTATTTTTTTTGGGCGATGCAAACTCCCATCGGAAAATCCGCGGCCTTGAGCGCAGTCGACCCCAGCCTCAGAATGTCCAGACCAACAGTTCTGGGCTGTAGATGGAGGGAGGAGAAAGTGTGTTTCTTCTGTATGACACCCTGGGACAGAGGGGAGGGCAAAGCTCCTCAGAAGTCTCCTCGGGGGACCTGAGCGATTGGTGTCTGACAGTGCAAGGGATTATGTCAAAACTAGCGACGAGGCTGGTGGTAGTTGCAACCTGTGGAGAGACAGATAGATACCCCGGGGTACCAAATGCGCGGGGAGGGATTTGCAAGGGACAGAACAGCGTAGAAATCGAGGTGTCTTCTCTCGCCGAGTTTGGTCTGTTTTTCTTGGACCCCCCCCCTTTTTCTCTATGGTCTCTATCTCTACCTCTCTTTTTTAAAATGTGTTCTGTGCCTGTTGTCTCTGTGTCTCTTTCTCTGTCCCTTTCCCTGCTGTTTGTCTTTCTGTGATGTCTTTCTTTCTTTCTTCCTTTCTCTCTCCTCTATGTCTGCCTGTCGGTTTTTCTAGACCTGAACAAGGCAAACTCCCCGTCTCTAGTCTGAGAAATGTGGGGAAACCTGGCTTCTGGTGTGCAGGCTTCAGGCGTCGTTATCCCAGCAGCTGCTGGAAAATGTAACTAAGATTGCGAAAAGTAGATAGGAGGTAGTGCCGCTGTTCTCAGCCACTTAAGAAAATCTCGGGGCTCTTCCCCTCATATGGCAAAGGAGGGGAGGAAGGCTCGGAGCTGGGGCCGACCCCCTCCCCCCCACAAGCCTGTGGCGCTCGCTGTCTGTGTGTTTGGGCGGCGGCGGCGGCGGCGGCGGCGGCGGCGCGTGTGAGAGGTAGCAGCTCCCTGCCTTCTCCCGTCAGTTTCGCACACCCTCCTCCTCCTCCTCCTTCTCCACCCCCCCAATCCCGAGGAAGCAGATTTAATCTTTTATGGATTTTTCAATTAGTTTATGGTCCCGGGCAGGGAAACTCGCTGCGGATTCCTAGTAACGAGAAAGAAAATGTTTTGCCTTTTTTTTTTTTGGTTAATGTAAACAAGCTCTCTAACGCCGCCTGAAAAGTGGGGCGGGCAGGCCGACGAGAGGCAGAGGGAGGGAAGGAGGAAAAGGCCAGTTTAGACCTAGGTTTCAGAGCGCTGAAGGAGAGACACCCCTGGCTCCCCCCAACTTCTCATCACAGAGAGGGTTGGAAGAAAGCCCTTTTCCCAGATGTGGAGCGGGAGGCTGAGCATAGGACTGGTCGGTCGTCCGGGTCTGGCCTGCACCAGCCCGGCCGCCTTCCTTGTGTTGCTCCGGGTTTCCGAGCAGGGCCCTTGGCAGAGAGAGCCACGATCGTGGATGCGCAGCCGCACTTGCGGTGCCCCTGGCAGCGGCCCGGGGCTCTGGGGAGGGGCGACCCCAGCCGGCCAGCTCCCCGAAGGGATTGGAGGAGGAGAAAGGGGAAAGGGGCGGAGAGGTGCTAGGAATCGACCCCTTAGCAAAAGGCCCCTGCAACTGAGGCCTCGGGCCAAAATAGCCAGCGGCTCTGTGCAGAAGAGAAAGGTTTGCTCTCCTCCCCTTCCCCCCAAGCCACTTATAAATAGAAGTTTCCGACATCCCATTTGGAGGACTTTAGCAATTGCAAACCGAGGCTGGCTGGTGTGCCTCGGCTCACACCCGAGCAGGCGCGAGTGGTGGTAGGAATGTGAGGTCGGGGTGCATAGAAATATGCCCAAGCATGGGAGTAGCGCCACCAAGGTTATCTTTTAATCGCCTTCAGCAACCACTCCCCGCCCCATCCAATTGCATGTTACCCCATTCCCCAAAGCAGACTAGCTTGTGCTCCAAGAGAGGGCTCTGAAAATCCCAGGGGTCACCAGTGGTGAAAACAAAGGGGCCAAGGCCAGGTCAAGGTTGTGACCCCCAGGCTGATTCCCCCTTAAAGAATTCCAGTTACTGAGTTGAGTAAGTGATTACCGAGACTCGATGTCAAAATCCTTCCTTCCTTCTCTCGATTTCCACCTCATCACGCACACACACACACACACACACACACACAGAGACAGCCCCAACTTTGTTGTGAAAACTTAGCGGTTTGGGTGCCACTAGCTGGGGCAGCAACGCCCTCCTCTGGTTGGTTTTATGCAGTCTTTTCCTCAGTCCTGGGAACTCGAGTAAAAAAAGGTTTTTTTGGAGCAATTGTGAAATAAGCCTTGTGAGTTGTTTTTAAAGGGGAATAAGGAATGAAACTGACTTAAAAAATATTCCTGCCATGGATCTGCCGAGATAGATACTAAAGAGTTCCAGGCTCTAGGAAGAGAGGGGGAGATGGTAGGAAGGCTTTTGGTGGGACTGTGTGAGCATGGCAGGGTTCCATTTTTCCCCCTCCCCCAATGGACCTTCTCATTTGTCCTTTGTCTCTTGGACCAAGATGCTGATGTCGGTTTGCTGGCTGAACTGTATTATGTTTGGTGGGAAAAGGAATGGTATACACACACACACACACACACACCCCTTTTTTCCCCTCTTAAATAGCTGGCAGGACTAGACAGAGTGGTTGGTTACTTGGTTTGGGCCATGGGTTTGCTTGTGAAAGGACCTGGGGCCAAAGCTGTTGGTATATCTGTTTTCTGGTTTTGAGTAACAGGTGGGAAGGAAGGGGCAGTAAGCCATGAGGCTTTTGCCTTGGAGATCCCGTAAGAAGAAGGTCCAGCTTGATGAAACTGCCCCACTGCCCACACCTTGAGCACCTTCCTCCTCGAGTCTGTAGACTGTCACATTCCTTACCCAACTCCTTACCAATGCGCTGGGCTGCTTCTTTCTTGCCCCCTTCTGGTAGACAACCTGCTCTTCCCTTTCCTAGTGCTTAGGACTGAATGTGAAGAAAGATGATGGGGGTGTAGGTGCTGTGTTTTGGAGTTGGCCTTCCATTGTCTGTTCCTATTCTCTGTTTTAACCGAGGGTACCAGCCATTGAATTGTTGGCACTGTTGAATGGATTGTAAGATCGATCTATCTTTGCTTTTAAAACAAAACATCCTCTCTATCCCCCTTCCAAATACACCCAGCTAACTAGGCAGGAATGCTGTATAGACAGCCCACCTCCCCTCCGGTTTCCTAATCTCAGCATGGTTCAAGTCTTTTAAAGGAGGAATCAGTATAGTAGCTGGGCCTTGATTCCCCCCACCCCAGTCCTTCCCCTCCCCACCCCCGCCCCCATCGAGATACCTTAGGCTTGTCTCTGTCTGCCATCTAGTGGTTATTAAGAGTTGATGTTTAAAATTCATCTCTTGGAACTTGGAATCAGATTGAGCAAGAGGGTGGGCTGCAAGAAGAAAAACCCCTTGAGAACTGTGGGATCCCAATTAATAAAATCTTGCAATTCTATTAGAGGATCAAAACTAGAGGAGTATCCCCCATAGACCAGAAAATGTGATATGAGAATGACTTAGTTACACACTCTGTGCCCCATGAGACACAGGGGCTCCCTCCTTCCTCACCTCTTTCAAGCTGTCAAAAGACTAGGGATGGCCATCCCTTTATTGCCAGTTGCATTATAAAATTTAGGGTTGGAAGAGGCCTAGTCCAGTTTCCCTCTATTTTGCAGAGGAAGAAACTGAGGCCCAGAGAGGAAATTGTCTTGTCCAAGGTCAAAAAAATAGCAAGTATTTGGACCTCAGTCCTCAGACTCAAATGTAGTGCACTTTATTACCCGATAAAAGGGGCGGTGGGGGTGGGGTATGCAAACGATTTCAATACTTTTTTTTTCCTTTCTTTTTAGGCAATTGGGGTTAAGTGACTTGCCCAGGGTCACACAGCTAGTAAGTGTCAAGGGTTTGGTCTGAGGCCGGAGTTGAACTCAGGGTCTGACTTCAGGGCGGATGCTCTATCCACTGAGCCACCTGGCTGCCCCTTCATTACTCTTAAAACTGAAGTCAGTAATGTGGGGAATCTATGTAAGGGAGGTGGCAATAATGGAATAAGTGAAGACTTTGGGGACTTGCCCAGCCCCTCCACTTCTATAGGAGGGAAAAAGAATAACTTCTACATAGCACCTACTATGTGCTAGGCACAGAGCTGAGCTTTAGGAGTATTATCTCATTTGACCCCTGCATTTAGGACCAAAATCCTGCCGTTCATCTAAGGAAGAGTACAGAATATTTCCCCTTTTAATTTTTGGGGAAAGAAAGACCATCTCTCTAAGATGTCTGGCCATCTCATGTTTTGTTTACTCGCTTGTAATCAGCTGTTCTGGACACTGCGCAGAAAGAGAAGGCTGAATGGGGCAAGTGGTCCACTGTCTTCGTGCTGAACTAACACAGCTACATTGGACTTCGATGGAGAGTATGTGTTTAGGGCCTACCGAGGGAAAACAGTTCATGTGGCTTTCTGGAAACTGCTTCTAGGCGTATACAAATGTCTCTCAGCAGTCTTTCTAACCTTGTCGGCTATTTCAGAGGTTGTATGCTAGGTATATGTCTAGATGGGGATTGGCTCAGTCCAGGGGTTAGAGACCAGTCCATTCAGCATGCCCACCTGGCCTGGCCAACTAGTGCTCCAGTCCATCTGCAAGTACAGTGGCTCGGTTTCACAGGCTAGCCCAGTGAGCAGCTATGGGAAGCTTCTTGTTGGATGAGAAATGCTCTTGTATTCTGTTTGGAAATTAATGCTTGGACACTTTTGAAACCCTGGCAAGGCCGACTCATCACTTTCTTAGTACAGTTACTGATTTCCATCTTCATTTATATGAATAATAAAAAACGTTGGCAAGCTTGTGTTGAAACAGAATTTAAAAGGCACTTTAATGGGGTGGGGGTTCCAATTCGTGCGCCTCACCTTTTTATACAGTAGGCAGAACAACTGGAGGGAAACTTGCCCGCCGGCGCCGGCCATGTCCGAGCCTGCCTAGGCACTGCAGCCTCAAAGGTGGTGCCTCCTTCAGGCGTCTGGGAGTGGGATTGAGGATCCTCCAGTCACTAAGTTCCAGAGGCTGCTGAGGAAACCCATCTCTCTCTTTTATTGCATTTCCTAGAAGCTTGCAGTAAACGCTCAGAGCCCCACTGGCTGCAGGGAATGTGAGTTCAAACTCGAGAGACAGGACTGAGTGGCTGTGGGTGCGAGTCGAATAGCCTTTCAGAGTGGCTGGCATTCCGCAGCTTTCTCCCCAGCTTTTGGGACTCGTATCTCTCGATAGCACCGAGAGCGCTCGTCACCTCCCTCTCCCCAACCAAAGGAAGACCGAGATTTAACTCAGACCCTGGAAATATCGAAGCCTGCTAGAAAAGCGAGCAGCTGCCCTGGGGACAGGTCAGGGTCTGGGGAATCTTCCCTCCTCCAAGTAGCATCTTGGAGCCCGATGGAACTGGTCTTGAAGCTTGCCAGCTCCAGCCCATGTGGATGAACCCCCTCTTCTAAAGCAGAGCTTTAGTTCCCCCTGTCCGTGTCCGTCCCCCATCTCCATCTTGTATTAAGTTCAGCCTGGTTTGGCCAGTGCGAGATTCTTTCCTTAAAAATGCCCAAACCATTTCGGGCCGGAAGACGCCAGATCTGAGGCTGGCTGTGCTCATTCCCTCTCCAAACCAGGGTGATAAGAAAAGTAAGGGGGGAAGAGGGAGGGGGCGGTGGAATGAGGTCAATGCCTGGTGAAGAGCGGCCCCTTGTGGACATCAAGGGAAGCTACCCTTAAACTCTCTCCCCGCCCCCCCCCAGCCCTTGAACCCCTCGGCTTCTTCTCTTTGCCTGCCACGGTTTTATCTTAGAATTTTTCAAGCTCCCTCACTTCTCTTCCATCCCCAGGCTCTCCACATTTCCAGCTCTCACGCTTGCCCTCGGGCAGAGGGGATTCCGTGAAGGAAAAGCCACGCGCGGACCCTCTTGACCCCGGCTGGCCTTGACAGCTGAAGGGTTCCGCGTGCGGACTCCGGGTCCCAGGTGGAGAGGTTGGGGCAATCGGTGCAAGCGCTGTCGCTGCGTCCCCCATCTCGAAGTCAGTCCAGACAATACCGGGTGGCAGGCCGGTTGGCCGTGGCTTTGCAAGGCTTGCAGTGGGCAGAGCGCGGTCGGGGGGGGGGGGGGGGGGGGGGGAGGAGGGGCGGAGAGGATGTAGATGGAAGCTGAAAGGTCAGTGCAAAAGGAGAGAGGAATTATCCGAGGTAGTTGGACGCCTGAAGGAGGCGCTGGAAAGAGCCTTGGGCTTAGTGACTTCTGATCCGGGCCTTGTGGTTTCCTAACTGCGAAATGGGTCAGCCCAGTCAGAAAGCCTTTCTGGGCCTCAGTCGCCTGTCTGTAAAATGGGGATGATGACGCTACTTGCTCCACACTCTGTAACCCTGAAAGCTATGGCAACGTGAATGCCTCTGGCACCGAGACTGGCGAGACGCCAGCCCCTCTGCTGGCCTGCTGTAGATTGAGGGGGAGGGCCAGGATTTCGGGGAAATCAGCCTCGGAGATCTCGAAGTCCCTCCGGGGTGGGCCTTGGTAATTCAGAGTTTGGACGTTCGCCACCCTTTTCTCAGATGTAGGCGGGAGGGCTTTGGCGCAGGCTCCCTTTAGGGCAGCCAGTTGAGGGTCCCACCGGCCGTGGTGCGCGTCGCCCCTTGCAGCTCTGTTTAGAACCAGAATCACATGGGGGCTTTGGGGCAGCCAGATCCACCCCTGCTCCCAACTCGCTCCCAGTTCATTCTCCTCCCAGACAAAATACGGGGAAGCCTTGGGTCTGATCCCAGCGCAGGCAAGGAGCAAAACCGTTAGGAAGCTCTTGCATTTCCTTTGGGAAAGAGCGTGCATCCGCTGGCGGCTGAGCCAGCCTCGTCCTCCCTGGGGGCTAGCCTGGGCCGAGAGAGAGAGAGAGAGAGAGACAGAGAGAGAGAGAGACAGAGAGAGAGAGACAGAGAGAGAGAGAGACAGAGAGAGACAGAGAGAGAGAGAGAGAGACAAAGAGAGAGACAAAGAGAGAGAGACAGAGAGAGACACACAAAGAGAGACAGAGACAGAGAGACAGAGACAGAGACAGACAGGCATACAGAGGGGCAGACAGACTGAGAGACAGATTGAGAGAAAGACAGACAGAGGGTGAGAGAGACAGACAGAGAGACAAGGACAAACAGAGGGACAGAGGCAGAGAGACGAGCGAGCCACCAGGCCAGTGGTGGGGGCAGCAGCTACGCCGCGCTGCTCCCAGGCTCCCGCTGCCCGCTGCCCGCTGCCCGCTGCCCGCTGCCCGCCGGCTTAGCCTGCTTAACGACTTAACCTCGGGCTACTTCCTGGAAAGTTACTTCTGGTTGGAGCTAGCGATAGGCGGGGAGGGTTCCCTGAAATCCGCCTAGTTTCAATCAACTCCATTCCGGGAATGGGACGGCTGTGACATTCCCCTCGCTGCCCCCCACCACTCCCCAGCTTGACGCGATAAAATAGGGAGGAAAAAAATGCACAAAAATTTTGATTTGAGGCTGAGCGAATTATGTCACACTAGCCCAGCTCCTTCCGCGGATCTGCCGCCGCTGCCAAGCCGGCGGCTGCGGGACCGAGCCGGCAGAGCCCCGGGGGTGGGAGGTGACTGGCAGCCAGGTACTGTGGCCTGGGGAGGCTATGGAGGGGAGAGCTAGGGAAGTGTTGGCATCCTCCATTTGCCTAGAGAAGGGGGTTGTGCATGGAATTCGGGGGTCCAGAACTCTGGGACTTGGACATTTATCTGCTGCAAGGCGCAGCTTACCCTTCCAAAAAAGAAAAGGGTGGAGGTGGAGATGCCTTCTGGGGCTGAAATTCAGGGAAGGGCTTTGGGTACCAAAGGGAGTTGAAGAAAGAGAATCCCTAAAAACCCTGACTTTGGTGACCTGGAAAAGCTGGAGAGGAAGAAGGAGGTGTTCGTGGGCGGGTGGGGTGGGGGACCGGGAGAGGATGGAAAGGATGTTTGACTCTTTGTCTATGGCCTTTTCCCTCTTTGCAGTATTGCTGGGGAAATCCTTTCTGTGAGGCAGCCCCCCACCCCCCACCCCCCCCGCTGGACCTGCTTTGGAAGCTCTGAGTCAGGAAGGCTGAGTTGTGGGCAGCCGCTAAGCCAAGCCCACCAATTCCTGAACTGCCTGGACCTCTAAAGACTGGCAGCCCATAACGATTATGTGTGTGGTCATTGCAGAACCTTGGTTTGGGAATGTTTTCCAGTCTGGAATCCCTCCCCCCAAAAAAAATTGCTTCTTAGGGAGAGGGGAGAGGGGAACAAAAAGTAGAGACCTCACCTAGGAAAGCCGGGATTTGCCAGTTCATATAAACAGAGCCTAACCTGCAGCTTTGGGACCTCCCACAGTTGGGACAGAAATCGTATAAATAGATCCGATGAGTAAGCCAGAGCCCTGCTTTTAGTACTGGCTTGATGTGTGTATTTCTATGAGAAAATGCTGTACTTCAGTGCAGACCTAGCTGTTGCCGCCCTGGGAGAAGACTGTGATGGTGGGCAGAGTGCTGGACATACAGCTGTTAACTTTTCTTTAGTGACTTTGTGGCCTCCCTGTCTCTATCCTCAACTCACTTCACCCACACTTTAGAACTGGGAGAGAGCACTGAGCTTTCTGTGGGGGATACAGAAAACTAGACCAGGGTCTGAAGGTTCAAGGAAAGAGCTGATTCTCCACTTTTCCCTTAGTAGGCATGTCACTGGGGAAGATGCCCGTATCATTTGAGTTTTCTCTCACTAATTTAAAAAGCCTTCTAATCCGGATTCTGTCACTTACCAACTTCCTATAGGCAAAAGAGAAAACTATTTGGATGTCAGCATCTTTATCTATAACCTGAGGGTGTGTATGACCTTGGGCAAGTCATTTAACTTCCTTAGGGCTCAGTTTCCTTGTCTATGAATTATGGCCTCTGAGGCCCCTTCTAGTACTGGCTCTCTGTGCCTACAATCCCTTCCAGTTCTCATGTTCTGTGACATTTCCAAGAGGAATTTAATTAAATTGGCACAGTGAATACAACCCATAAGCCGACTTTATTCACCTAGAAGGTTCTAGCGCTCAGCTGAGGCACAGTAAGAATCCATTTACTAGTTACTTCTTTCCTTCCCTCAGTTTCCCCCTATCTCTGATTTTTAGGCCACCCTTTGAAAAGGACCAGTTACATACCTCGCAGGCAAAGGAGAAAGAACCCCTAAGCAGGAGGGGTCTTTTTCCCCCTAGTCTAACTCAGAGTTGAACCAGTAGGTGGCAACAATTTACAAGACCACAACCTAATGAGACTCTTAGGCCAGGGTGGGAAGGGAAGAGGTCCTTTGTATCATGGGACTGGAGAAGCTGTAATTGTCCTGGAAACTTGAGAGGATGGGGGAGCCCTTTTTTTTTTTTAAAGCCTTTAATGCCTTGCTTCCTATCAGTGCCTGTATGATGATGAAAAGAGAATACTGGAATATGAGTCCAGACATTCAAGTTTTGGTGCCAGCCACATCTAGCTGTCTGACCATGCTCCAGTCACTTCTCACTTCTGGGCCTCTGTTGCCTCATCTGCAAAATGGATATAATCATGCTTGCCTTGCTTTATCTCACTTGGTTGTCCTAAGGATCAGATGATATTAGAATTGTGATTGTGCTTTCATGCTGGACTGCCTGTTTTCTCATCCCCGTTTGTAAGTCACTACAGGATGCCTCCCAGTTCTTAGGTTGAGAGAGACCCTCATTCAAAGGGTAAGGAAGAACCGTGGCATGATCTCCTGGTATTGTTTCAGAAAGCAAATAGCTGGAGAACATGCTTAGCTTTCGTGTGGAAAGCTCCCCTAGCTGCAGTCTGCTTGTCTGTCTAAGCCTAATAACAAAAACTACTTTGCTTACATAAGACTATACTGGCTGATTAGCAGGTGTGAGTCAATTTCCCTTTTCTCTTTTCTCTTTCCCACAGGTTTTAAAAGAAGTCTTGAACTGTGAATTGAGGCTTTGGGTATGTAAATTGAATTTCTTGCTGTTAATACTTTATGGACAAAAGGTTTCCCATAGCCTTGGTTAACACGTGGATTCACATCAGCCTACTGTGGGCTAGTGGGATTTTGCTTAAATATTTGTTGTACTGCTGAATAAATTACTCTTCACGAAGTGAGAAGAGGCCCTCCCTCTCCTCTCTTTTCTCAACTTTGGGTTATCCCATCAATTAGAAGTTGCATGTGAAATGTATATTCACTAGTCTGGCAGATAGATGGAGTGTCCTCTCCATCTATCTGGGCATTAGTATGCACACAAGTTCAAGAGGCATAGAGGAAGGACCAAGGCATGTCAGGTAGATATGGACAAGAATCCCATGGGACACACAATCTGCCTTACCGGAGGCAGTGCCCACATTTATGAAATCACACCTAAGAGTTCCGTGTAACTAAACCTAACTCAGGAACACCTCAGAAAAAGCAACAGAAGAAGAGTGACAGAGAAACCTCAGGCCCAAGGGAGGGACAGAATGACCCTGGGTCTAACTCCAAACCCTTGAGTATGCAGACCATTTCTTTAGTGAACTGCACCCCCTTGTGGCAGCCATGGTAGTGACGGCTGAAGGCTTCTGGGAACCAATGGTCATCAGCCATCCCCTTCTTTTTCAGGAGGAGACAAGATGGCCTCGCCGGCAGACAGCTGCATCCAGTTCACCCGCCATGCTAGCGATGTCCTCCTCAATCTGAATCGCCTGCGGAGCCGAGATATCCTGACGGATGTTGTCATCGTGGTGAACCGTGAACAGTTCCGGGCCCACAAGACTGTTCTCATGGCCTGCAGGTGAGAGGGTGATGGAGCAAGGGCATCAGCCTCGGAGTGGTGGAAGCCTCTCACAGGGGGCTGGGAGCCAGAGGAGCACGCTCGGGGCTGGCCTGAGCCTTTGACTGAGTGAACTGATGAGCCCCCAGTAAAGTCCCCGGGTAGGACACCACAGCACAGCAGAGCCTCTGGGTCTTCCAAAGCTGTGCCAGCCAAGCCCAAGCTCTTCAGGGTCCTAGGGCCGGTGAGGCAACAGCACAGACCATCTGTCTACGGGACAGCCTAGCGAAGCTTGGAGAGGCTCTTCCGTGGCTTGTATAGCTTGTGCCCTGGAGACACCCAAGTCCAGCCTCCTCGTGTACAGATGAGGAAATTGAGGCCCAGTCGGACAGGCAGTCTGGCAGAGGTGGGAATCAGGCTTCCTTACTCCAAATCTGGTCCTGCATCTCCTGTGGCACTCGCGTGTGTGTGTGTGTGTGTGTGTCTTACAGAGTATAGCTTGGCTGGCCAAATGTGTATACATGTGGCCCTCACTTTATACAGAAATATTACATATTCTATAATATGATATACTATTATATTCTATACTATAGTAATGCAGTGTACTGTTACCTAGAATATAGTTTCACATCATCTGGCATAGTACCATGTCACAAAATTCATAGCGCGTAATCTAGTGGCATGCCACCCTGCTGCCGCCCCAGAGTGCAGAGCATCACGTTTCTCTGTCTCTGTTTTGGCAGTGGCCTGTTCTATAGCATTTTTACTGACCAGCTGAAATGCAACCTGAATGTGATCAACCTTGACCCTGAAATCAATCCGGAGGGCTTCTGTATCCTTCTGGACTTCATGTACACATCCCGCCTGAATCTCCGTGAAGGGAATATCATGGCAGTAATGGCCACCGCCATGTATCTGCAGATGGAGCATGTTGTGGACACGTGCCGAAAGTTTATCAAAGCCAGGTGAGTCCCCTCTGTGCTGGGGACAGAAGGGGAGGAGCGTGGGGGGGAGGGTACAGCACAGCTGAGTACTTGGACTCTGCAGCTGGCACGCCACACAGTCTGCTTCAGAGAAGGGTCCCTTCCCTTGGGATCCCTCTTGGTTGCTGATCTACCGTGTGGCCCCAAGGCTTTGTGAAGAACCCTGGGGAACTTGTGGAGGGAGGGCATTGATGGACAGAGGGTAAGGTTAGCATTGGCTCCTCCTGGCTAGTCTCCAGGACCTGAGTTGGAAGCACCTGCTTTGGGTTGGAATAAGAAGCTAGTGTCCCATTCCCTGGTGAGACCACGTCATTCATATTCAGGGTGCAGGACACTGGGTGGGAAGGGACAGGAGCCAGAATGAGGGCCCCTTCCACATGTGCTTGGAACAGACCATACCATCTGGTTTGGTAGACAGGGCTAGCACATGCACAAGTGGCTTAGAAACCTTCAGATGGCACAGAAGCGACGTGCCAGCAATCGTTACCTCCTCACAGCCAGTCCCACAGCCAGCTGGAGGGGGGAGGGGAGTTAGAGCTAGGAGGGACCACAAAGATCAGCTGGACAGGTGAAGCCCACTTCAGTGACCTGCCTAATTTGTCACAGCTAGTTAGTGGAAGCACCAGGACAAGGATCCATCTACTTGATTAAATATAAAAATGGGATTTTGAAGAAAAGAATCCACATGACCATTTTCTCCTGGGGGACGGGACGGTCTCCCTTCCTTTCTCTTAAACAGTGAAGCAGAAATGGTGTCCGCCATCAAGCCTCCTCGGGATGAGTATCTGGCTGGCCGGATGCTGCTGCCCCAAGAAGTCATGGCGTATCGGAGCCGCGAAGTGGCTGATAACAATGGCCCCCTGCGGAACGGTCCCCTCTGTGACGGACGAGCCTTTGCTCCTGGCCTGTACAACGGCTTGACTGCATCCCCAGCTTCCTATCCTGTGTATGGCCACCTCCCGGTGAACAGCTTCTTTGATGAGGAACTGAGGGATGTCAGGATGCCCATGGCCGACCTACCTAGGGCCAACCCGTACCCTAAAGAGCGGGTCCCCTCCTGTGATAACACCCGGCCCCTCCCTACAGATTATAACCGGGCTGTCATGGAGGTCTCTGCCAACATGTGCCATGCTAGCATCTACTCCCCTAAAGAGGCTACTCCAGAGGAGGTGCGGAGTGAGGTACATTACAGCGTGACTGAAGCAGGCCCCAAACCGGCTGCCCCATCTGCCCGGAACAACTCTTACTTTGCCTGTGACAAGCCTGGCAAGGAGGAGGAGAGGACCTCCTCTGAGGATGAGATTAGCCTGCACTTCGAGCCCCCCAATGCCCCACTTAATCGCAAGGGCCTGGTGAGCCCCCAGAGTCCCCAGAAGTCAGACTGCCAGCCCAACTCACCCACAGAGTCCAGCAGCAGCAAGAACGCCTGCATCTTACAAGGGGCCGGCTCCCCTCCAGCCAAGAGTCCTACCGACCCCAAGGCTTGCAACTGGAAGAAGTACAAATTCATTGTCCTCAACTCTCTCAACCAGAACACCAAGCCGGATGGGGCTGAACAGGCTGAGCTGGGCCGCCTCTCACCTCGAGCTTATGTCCCAACGTCTACCTGCCAGCAGCCCTTGGAACCAGAAAATCTCAACATCCGCTCTCCAACCAAGCTGAGTGTGAGTGGGGAGGACTCTGCCATATCGCAGGCCAGCAGGCTCAACAGCATCGTTACCAGGTGAGCTGATGGGGTGCTCTTTGGGAGGCAAGGAGGGGCTCTCATGATGGTTGGGGGTACAGCATCTTGAATATTTAACAATTGGTACTGCCATGCTGGAATCAAGCCTCAGGACCCTGAGCTCGTCGGCTGTGCCCATGGGGTCAGTACTGGGGAATGTGGACTTTAGTTGTCCATGCCAGTCCTCTGGGCAGCTGAGTTCTCTTTAGGACAAGGAACTTGGGCCACCAAAATATCACCAGTTACTGGACATTAACCAGTCTTAGGGGGTGGCCAACTTGCAATGAAGGAACTGTCCACCTCGGATTAGATTGAATGTAACAAGAATTCATTAAGCATCTACTCTGTTCCAGGCACTAGGCTAGGTGTTGGGGACCAAGGACAAAACGAACAGCCATCTGCTCTCAAAGATCAGTCAGTCTCCTGGAGAATACATATGCCCAGATAAATAAATGCAAAGTAGATTAAAGTATCTCCAGGAAAGAGGGGGTGTGTGATGCTGACCAATGCCATCAGGAAAGGCCTTGTGTAGAAGGAGGGGCTGGGCATTCTGGGAAGGGAAAGAAAAGGAAGGGAAGGAGAGTGGGAGCTGTCCAGCCAAGAGGAGATGCTCTCCCCAGCCTCAGGGAAAGGAGATGGGAGCTAGAGGGCTTCCCTGCTGTCAGACCTAGGGGCAAGGAGTCCCAGCTTGCCATGACCGAGCTTCCCATCACTCTCACCCTCAGGTCCCTGGCTGGCTCTCCCCGGAGTAACACAGAGGGACATTCTCCGCTGTATCTGCCCTCGTCCAAATGCCGCTCCTGTGGCTCCCAATCCCCACAGCATTCGGAGATGTGCCTTCATGCCACGGCCACTACCTTCCCAGAGGAGATTGGAGAGACCCAGTCTGAGTACTCAGACTCTAGCTGTGGTGAGTTCCCAGGTCCTGCACCCTCCCCCACACTCTCCTCCGCTTCCATCCGCAGCTGCACTAAGCCACCTTCTTCTTCCTCTTCCTCTTCCTCTACTTCCTCCTCCTCCTTCTCCTCTTCCTTATCTTTTTCCTCCTCCTCTTCCTTTTCCTCCTCCTCCTTCTTTTCTTCCTCTTCCTCTTCCTCCTTCTCCTCCTCTTCCTCCTCCTCCTCTTCCTCCTCTTCCTCCTACTTCTCTTTCTCCTCCTCTTCCTCCTCTTCTTTCTCCTCTTCCTCCTTCTCTTCCTCCTCTTCCTCCTTCTCTTCCTCCTCTTTCTCCTCCTCCTCTTCCTCCTTTTTCTCCTCCTCTTCCTCCTCCTCCTGCTCTTCTTTCTCTTCCTCCTGTTCCTCCTCCTCCTCCTTCTCCTCCTCCTCCTCCTCCTCTTCCTCTTCTTTCTCCTAAAGGACATTTGTCTTATATCTCCAGTTTGGGGCCACTGCTTGATGTAAGCTTCCCTGGCTTTTCTGAAGACAAGAGCAGGTCTCTGAGATCATGAGGGTCATTTTAATCACTCCAAATGGCCCCCACCTCTGCCTTCATGTAAAGCCTGCCATGTCACAAGACAGAGTCAGTGTGCAGCACTCAGGATCATCATTCATGTCCCTGCTCTAGATAGGACAGACATATGGCAATGTTTGGGGGCTAAGCCTCTGGGCTCAATCCAGACCCTGAGGACAGCCCCCAGTTTTCCAGGCAATAGCTCACCCATTCACTCTACTCTGGCTGGAACAAGGCAACACATGTTCGGTGACAAAAAGATGCTCTTTGTACCATTTCTAATCAAAAAAGAAAAAATCCCTATTTGATCTTCTCAAGCTGTCCTTGAAGTAGTCAGGTAAAATGTGGTTTTCTGCCTTTAATAGATGAAGAAAATGAGGCATGGAGAGGTTAAATGTCTGTGTATGTGTGTGTGTGTGTGTGTGTGTGTGTGTGTGTGTGTGTGTATGACGTGTGTGTGCGAGTGTGTGCATGCACACATGCTTTTAAAGCATCACTTACCAAGACAAACCAAGTCACTGGGGTGGCAGAAGGAAGGAAGCCATTTCATTGTCTCTTTGTTCCACATGAAAGGGGCAGAGCTTTGCAGCTGTGGGGGGTCAGGGAGGGGGTGGATTTTGCTTGTCTTCTCTCCTCTCTTTCTGTCTCTTTTCATTCTCACCAATTCTTTCACGTCCTCTGAACCCAGTTCAAGTCTCTGGATTCCCTAGGAGTGCTTGGAGTGGGGTGAAGGGGGCTGGGAGACCACAGCTCAGGATTAGTGTCAGGGACGGGGAGCCAGCTGGGCCTCTGAGGGCCCCCATGCCCTTCCTCCTCATGCTGACCCTGGTCCCTCCTTTCCCCCCCTCAACAGAAAATGGAGCTTTCTTCTGTAATGAGTGTGATTGCCGCTTCTCGGAGGAGGCGTCCCTCAAAAGACATACCCTGCAGACTCACAGCGACAAGCCTTACAAATGTGACCGCTGCCAGGCCTCCTTTCGCTACAAGGGCAACCTCGCCAGCCACAAGACCGTCCACACGGGTATGGCCCTGCCCTGATCAAATCACCATGGCAGCTTGCCAGGGTGGGGGGATGGCAGATGTGCCCAAGAAGCCCAAGCCCCAGCAGTACCTGGAGGGTTCTGAGGGAATCTCTCTGCCTTCCTTCTGTGTCCTTTTCCAATTTAGAACCCCCCCCCCTTCTTAATGGGAGGGAGTGCTCCTTACCACAACCCAGTGAAGTAGGTAGGGTTGTTATTTGACAGATGAGGCACTGAGGCACAGAAAGACTGTATCTTATGGTCACATAGCCACTGGAAGCAGTGCCAAGGTCAAAGCCCAGGGATCCAGAGCGCTATTGTGCCCTGTTGGCTTAAACTCTGAATCTGCTAATTTCTCTCTCAGGGTCACCTTTAAACACTTTATCCCAGGGGGCTTAAAACACTTTACTGAACCGAAGAGTAGATGGCTAACCAATAAACTGCCTGAAATTGCCTTGTATCCCTAAGACTTCTATCTAAAGGGAGCAGGCCCCTGGTGAGGGATCTGGGATACAGGCAGCTTAGAGGAAGAGAAGATAGCCCACCTACCCCAAACAGACATCTTGACAAAGGCAAGAGGCAGACCCAGCCAAGCAGATGGCTTAGTGGCAAGACTACTGCCCTGCAAGTCAGCGGGTACCTAGGGTCAGATACTGCCTCTGAGGCTTATTGCCTTGGTGACCTTGGGCAAATGACTCGCCCTGTCTGGACCTCAGTTTGCTTATCTATCCATTGAAAGGATGGGATTCTGGCATCCGTTTCAGCTTGGGTTCACGTTCTTATGTTGCTGTGATCTCTCTGGGCTTCGATGTCCTCATTCATAACATGAGGGGTTTGGACTGCAAAGCCTCTTCTACCTCAAGGTCTAAGACCCTCTGATCCTTTGAATGGACAGGATTTGTTCAATGTCCCTCCATCCCTTCCTTAGAAATGAGATCATGCTACAAGGGGGCAGGGTGGGGGAAAGTGTCTATAGAAAAAAAGGTGCTTACTTAGAGCTTGTCACCCACCTAGATAAGTCCATCTGTTATGCAGACGTAGTGCCTTTAGAAAGGATGGCCCCGAGGGAACTAAGGGGGAGGCTAGCCCTCACAGAGTGGCAGGCTATGAATCAGGACTCCTGGCTTCTCAGGCTGACTGCCTTTCCTTTGGGATGTCAGAAATCCTGACTTTCCCACTTCACCCTCATTAGCCTAATCTCCAGTGAATATTCTGTCCCCTGTTGTGTCTGCCTTTCATTAGTTTGGATAGACCTTAGCACTGTGCACTTACCATGTGGCCTCCATTTTCTCTTTCTGGCAACAGGGGAAAAACCCTATCGGTGCAACATTTGTGGAGCCCAGTTCAACCGGCCAGCCAACCTAAAGACCCACACCCGCATTCACTCTGGAGAGAAGCCCTACAAGTGTGAGACCTGTGGAGCGAGATTCGTCCAGGTGAGTAGAGGGATCTGTCTGTGTGTGAATTTCTTTATCTGTCTGTGGATCTCTGTCTCTCTGTCTGTCTCTCCATATCTGTGTTTCTGTTTGGGGTGGCAGGGCTATGGTCCCTTTGTTGGCCTATTGCTGACATCCCTCCTTCTTTCCTGACAGGTGGCCCACCTGCGCGCTCATGTGCTCATCCACACTGGTGAGAAGCCCTACCCGTGTGAAATCTGTGGCACCCGTTTCCGGCACCTGCAGACCCTCAAAAGCCACTTGCGCATTCACACAGGAGAAAAACCCTACCATGTATGTAAACCTTGTTCTTTCTTTTTGACAAGCTTTACCAGGGATAGGGTTTGTCCGGTGGTAGGGAGGGAAACAACCCAGGGGTTTTGCCTAATCTTGAAGCATATTGTGGAAAGAACCTTGGATTTGGAGGCAGCAGATCTTGGACAGGGCATTTTGTTTTGTTTTGTTTTGTTTTGATGGGTTTCAGGTTCCTTGTCTGTAAAATGGAAGGGCTCCGAGGACGTGTGCTTTCTAAGGGCTCACCCAGCTACAAGGAGGCTTGTAGGAATCTGTGGAAGGGTCTTTCCATCTGTGAATCCTAAGTAGGCAGTTTAGTGATGAGACGAGCACATCGTTCATTGGATTGTAACCTCCTTGAAGGCAGGACCTTTTGCCTTTTGTTTTCATGCCCTTGGCTCCTTGAATAGGACTTAGTATAGGAGTCCTTACACTTTTTCGCGTTACGGACCCTTTGGGCAGACTGGTAACACCCATGGAGCCCTGTTCAGAATGGCTTTAAATGCAGAAAATGAATAGGTAATATTACAAAGAAAACAAAAGATTAGTAAAAATAGATGATATTTTTTTTCCATCCAAGGTTGTGAACCCTGTGAAATCTATGCAAAGAATCCTTAGGAGTCTATGGACTCCTGTTTAAAAACTCCTGACTTAGTAATAAATGCTTATTGATTAATTAACTCGGAAGGTAACAGGGAAGTTGGCCTTCCATGGACATGGTCCACATGCACTCTGGAGGACCACATAGTCTACCTTAGAGCCCTCTTCTGTGCCCTGACTTGATTTCATCCAACTCCTCCTGGAGCGGGCATTGGCTCTGGCAGACAAACAGAAGCTCTTATAGCCTCTACCCAGATGGAAAGCCTTGAAGTATGGGCCCCCAGGGGGACCAACCTGGCTAAGTTCAGAGATGGTCATTGTCAAGGTGGCCGTAGCAGCCCACTTGCCAAGCCGTAGGGAGTTCACAACCTACATTTGTCTGGCAGGGGATGAGATCTCACAGTCATGAAATGAAGTATGGAAGTGGTCTTCTGCCAGAATTCAAGGGCCCTCCAGAATTTTGAGGAGAACATAACAAGTATAAATTTATATCCCCCTTAGGGGATGATGCTGAGAGTAAAAAGATACAGTGGTTATTAGTCAATCAAGTAACAAGCATTTATTAAATATCTACTATGTTTGAGGCACTCTGCCAGGCTTTAGAGATACAAAGACAAAAGAGATGCAGCCCCTGACCTCGAGCAGCTTATAGTCTATCAGAATTTGGTCTTGCCACAGATTTATATACAGGCAAAGGGATGCGCCTTGACATCAGTGAATGAATGAACTTATTTCTCTAACCCTGAAAAATGTTTTATTAATTTTTAAAAAAAATTTCTTTGTGCATTTCCCTGTACCATTCCCCCCCCCCGCCCCGCACACTAGCCAATATAGCATCCATGTGCAACAAATTACAATTAGGCAAAAAAAGCAAATAAACTTGACACCTTTGACCACATATGGTAATGTGGACCTTATTCTGTACCTGTCTACCACCTTCTTACTGAGTTAGTCAGTCAATGCATTCATTAAGCACTTAATGCACACTGCCATGACAAGACCTTTAGAGTTAAGACTGGTCAATGCATTAATCTGAGAAGCGATGTCTTCATCTTTAGTCAATGGGGTTAAGTGACTTGCCCAGGGTCACACAGCTAGTAAGCATTATGTGTCTGAGGTCAGATTTGAACTCGGGTCCTCCTGAATCCAGGGCTGGTACTCTATCCACTGCACCACCTAGCTGTCCCCATCTTTCTTTGCATTATTGTGGTCATTGTATAAGTTGTTCTGTTTCTGCTTACTTGGGTCTGCATCAGTTATATAAATTTTCCCCTGTTTCTCTAAGCCTTTTATAGTAATAATTCCTTATGGCACAATATGATTCCATTACATCCATGGGCCACTATTTTTTCAGCCACCCCCCCCATCAGTGGGCATCCATATTGGTACTACAAAATGAAAGCACTAAATTAAAAATATTTTTTTATTTGTTCAATAAACATTTACTAAACATTCATATGTGCAGAGCTAAATCATTGGTTCTCCAATGGATTTTTTGCTCATGGCTTAGTATTGTGACTTGCCATAAGGAATCGTGGTTTATCAAGCGTTCAAGTTGGTGACACTAAGGTGGGCACCAGCTGCCCACCTGTCCAGCAGTCCACTCATAGACTCAGCTACTGAGATGGAAAGGATAAACAACGTAGTGTGTGGCATATAGCAGGTGTTGAATAAAGGCTTGTTGACTGACTGATTAACTAACTGATCCCCCAGTGTGTTGCCTTAAGAAAGCTAATGTGTTATTCCCATCCCAATTCCAAACTAAATGAGTACACATATTATAGGCAAGCAAGTTAGACCAGAGAGTTTGTGTCCTACCTTAGATCACACAGCGAGTGGCAGGATGGAATTGTAGGAAGAGGGACTACTAGAACACAGATCTCTTCAGTTTGACAGCTCCTCTTCCTCATCTTGACCCAGGTTATAACTTAGAATAAAGGATTCTTTCCCTCTTTTTTTTCTTTAAGAAATAATTTTGAAAGGCTTCCCCCCTCAGCCGATATCAGGGTCACCGAATTGTTAGGTAATGAACCCCTCAGGAAATGACCCTTTACCGAGCACCTGCCCTAGCGCCTCATCCCCGGTCCAATCTTAGTGGAAAATCAGACTCAGGCTGGTCTTCGGGATGGCCCTCTCTTTCTTCAAGGCTACTGGAAGGGATGGTCAGGGAGAAGTCCTTGGGAAACATCTCCCCAGGTACTGGTAAGAAAGAAAGTGAGAGTGTCCACAAGAGTTGACCTTTGGAGAGGCTGACGTGAGTGTTCAAAGGATCGCAGATTTAGAGCTGGCGGGGACCTTAGAAGTCGTTGAATGCGGCTTCCTCATTTTTCAGATGAGGAAATTGGCCCTGAGAGCTAAAATATTTAACCCAGGTCTTTTGACTCCATTGCTTCTGCTTTTCCCTCCAGTGTGAGAAGTGTAACCTGCATTTCCGCCACAAAAGCCAGCTGCGGCTTCACCTGCGGCAGAAGCACGGTGCCATCACCAATACCAAGGTTCAGTACCGCGTCTCTGCGGGCGACCTGCCCCCGGAACTACCCAAGGCTTGCTGAAAGCATTGCAAAGGGGTCCCCTCTCTGGAAGTTATCCAAAGGATACTGTCACACTTTACAGATGTTCATCCCATGACGTAGTGCCTCTTCTCATCCATTTGTGCAGATCATAAAGGGGGGTGGAGTTGGGGGGCGGGGCGGGACGGGGAAAGACAAAGGGGGAAGAAACATGTAAATCCTCCCACTCACCCAGTGACGTAACGTAAACACAAACAAACACACAAGCTCAATCTCCTATGTGTTAGGGAAACTCTATCGGTGAAAAATGCAAAGAAAGGTCATTTTACCCATCACCCCATGGGGGAGTGCACAGAAGCTTTGGAATCTGACTTGACTCGTTCTGAAAAATGAGGAATGTATATGTTTTGTGGGAACAGATGTTTCTTTTGTATGTAAATGTGCATTCTTTTAAAAGAAGAGAATTCAGTATGTTATAAAAGAGAGGGCTTTAATTTTTTTAACCAAAGGTGAAGGAATATATGGCAGAGTTGTAAATATATATAAATATATATAATAAATATATATAAACCTCAAAAAAGATATATTAAAAATAAAACTGCATTAAAGGCTCGATTTTGTATCTGCGGGCAGACACGGATCTGAGAATCTTTATTGAGATAGAGCCCTTACAAAATATTTTAAGTATTGCATCTGTGTAAGTAAGAAGATATTTTGTCTAAAACGCCTCAGTGTATTTGTATTTTTTTGCAAGTGAAGGTTTACAATTTACAAAAGTGTGTATTAAAACAAAACACAAACAAGCTGCAGAAGGAAAAAAATGCGTAATTTTGTTCTAGTTTTGAGCTTGTATATATCCGTACAACGTGTACTCACGGTGCCTTTTTTCCATGGAAGTTTTCAATGTATGGACTAGATGAGCCCCCTTCCTTTTCGAGGCGCAGGCAGACACAGGGACTTGAAGCTGGCACTCACTAAGCTCTCTTTGGGAATGTTTGTCTTATTCCATGCTGCGTCACGCTTGCATCATATAGGTCCTCCGGAGACAGGGTTGGGCTGTGTCTAAACCGCATCACTGCATTGTAAAATATAGCTGTATAAAACCAAGAATAAAACGATGAAACGTGAATGCTGTTATTGGGCAGTGTGTTCCTTTCTCCCTCCGTGGCAGGGCTGGACCACATGTGGCATTTCTGGTTCCATTCCATTCTGTGCATCGTGGTGCCTTGACATTTAATGACAACGTATGGCGAAATGGCAGAGCCTGGTGTTAATGAAACCAAGGTCAAGGGCTAAATCCCCCCAGACCTTCACAGGGAACGGTTTTAATGTCTTAGCCAAGTCACCCAAACCTAGCACGTGAATGGCTTGGCACAACCAAACCTACTGATCCCAAGGGGGAGGGATGTTCTTTCCTTTCTTTCCTGCCAGTTCTTCTGGATTTACTTTTCCACAGGGCTGTTCTTTGTTCAGAATTAAACCAGGACGTGGACCGGAGTTGGGTGGTGTAGATGAAGTCACAAGGGATGAAATGAGGAAAGGATGGAGGGAGGGATGCTCGGTGCAGTGATGTAGCGCAGAAATGAATGGCAGCATTCCAGGCCCAGAGTTCTGCTGGGTCTGAAGAAGTAAGAGGAGAAGGGATTAGACTAGGCTAGGTTCAATAGACATTTATTTATTATTTCCTATGTGCAAGGTAAAATGGCACATGAAAAGCAGGTCTGGCCTTTGAAGAGCTTGCATCTTCATAAGAGGGAGACGTTCTTGCTATGTAATTTGAGGAAGGGGAAAATGCAAAGAATAAGAAAGGGTGAGGAAAGGCTTATGGTGGGTGGATAAGGGGAACGCCTGAGCCAATCCTAGAAGGAGAAAGCCCAAGTTGCTAAGACCAACAGAACAAGTGAGTGCCCTGAGGCCTTTTGCTGCAGATTCCAGGCTTCTCACCTCTCAAGCTGAGGTGTGAGAATCCTGGGGCTGCTCGGCACTCAGGTCTGCTTGGAAAGATAGAATTCTTTGATGCTGTTGGGAGGAGGAGTGGGGTGTATTATAGCCTACAGGACCATCTCAAAGCCCAGAAAGCCTCCTCCTACTTGCCTTCCTGCCCCTGGTGCCCTACCTCAGCTTACTTCTTTCCTTGGAACCAGCCTTACATGGAGGTGGAATAGGTGAGTGGCCATAGGACATGATTTCAGGGACCTAGGGAAGACCTATCTGCCATCAATCAAAGACAAAATGACACAGCCCTTGTCTCTCATGGAACCTATATTCCACAACAAGGGTTCTGAACCTCTTTTTGTGTCTTGGACCCCAGGGGGCAGTCCGGTGAAGTGATGGACCTCTTCTCAGAATAATGTTTTTAAGTAGTTGAAGGAAATGCCAGATTTCAGTTAGAGGCTAGTGAAAAGAAATAATTTGTTCACATCTAAGTTCACGAGCTTCTTGAAATCTCTTCATGGACCCCTTGATGGGTCAATTAAAAAACCCTTGTTCTACAGGCAAACATCTTCCCAAGCAATGGATTTGGAATTAGAGAATCTGGGCTCAAATGTTGTCTCTGTCAACTTATTTCCTGTGTGACTTTGGGCAGGTCATATTCTTTTATAGGCCTCAGTTTCCTCACCTATACAATGTATGGGGTGTCCCACATGGCCTTTAAGACTCCTTCTAGCTCATAACCTATGATTCCAGGGGCCGCAGTTGACGTTCTGTGTGGCCCCTCTTCCATAGCAACCCCATGAGGTCAGGAGAACAAATATAATTGTCCCCACTTTACAGCTGAGCCACTTGAGGCCCAGAGAGCTGGTGTGAATTTCTCATGGCCACATGTCAAGTGAACAGCAGAGCTGGACCTCAAACCCAGTTTTTCTGGCTCCCACTTCTGTTCTTTCTTCAGCTAACAGATAATTTGGTTTTCTTACCTGCCACATGAAGGGGGTGGATTAAACCCTCTCCAAGGTCTCTTCTACCTCTCACAGTCCAGAATTCAGGGATTCGGGCTCCTTGCAGCTGGCTTTAGTATAGTTTTACATCGAGTTCGTGCTCAATCACAATGGACCAGGGCCACTGGCCGAAGGGGAGGAAGCCTGTGGTGGGCTTTGCTGTCTGCCTCTGGGGTCCTTCCCCAGTCTGCTCAGCCAGCGACTTCAGAATAGCCTTTAGGCACATGCTCTAAGGAGCTGCCCACCCAAGCCCAGGCCAGGAAGCATTCTCCACAAGCCACAGCACATCGCAGCGGGCCTCACCCAGATATAATTTCGTTTGGAAATGACTTCCAAAGGACCAACTTTGCTTGTGACCTATTTAACCCCACTGGCTTTGAAAAGGGAGAAAATGATCTCTTTGGTCCTTTTAGAAACCTGGCATGACCAAAGTGAGACATTAAGGAACCATTATTCTCTGGCCAATGTACTCCCTGGGCTCATTGAAGTACTGTTTGTTGTTTGTTTGCATATCATTATTACTTATCTTTAGAGATGCAGCCTGCCATGATGTAGAGAAAGCTGACCTCCAAGCCAGGAAAACCTGGCTTCAAGTCCTGCTACTGACCTATGTCCAGGATGTGTGACCCTGGCAAGTCACGTAACTTCTCAGGACCTCAGATAGCTCTGAGACTGTAACTTTCAGAGATGGTTCCTTCCTATATTGGTAGAGGGAATTTCCTCATGCAGGAGTCCCCCAGAGAGAGCCTGGGGCAAGGAGAGCTGTTACATAGGCTGCTTGGCTAAGCTTGAAATCCAGTGTGTTCCACCTTCAGGGAGGCATCCCAGAACCCCCTCCTCTCTTTCTGTGCATTACTAGTCTTCCTTTGGACCTCACACTGCATCTTGCCTGACCCTCTCTGCTAGACTAAACATGCATTAGTGTGTATTTTTTATTGTTCAGTCATTTTTCAGTCATGTTTGACTCTTTGTGACCCTTTTTGGGGGGTTTTCTCAGCAGAGATACTGGAGTGGTTTGTTATTTTCTTCTCCAGCTCATTGTACAGATGAGGAAACGGAGGCAGAGTTAAGTAACCTGGCCAGGATCACACAGGTGTCTGAGGCTAGATTTTAACTCAGGAAGATGAGTCTTCCTGACTCCAAGCCTTGCACTCTATCTACTGTACTACCTAGCTGCCCCCTATTATTGTGTATGCTACAGGTGAAAGGTCTTTGGCCCTGAAGCCAGGTGAGACTTGGTCCAAATAGTGCTTCTGACACTTGCTTAATGACCCTGGGCATCTGACCTTTTTTGAGCCCCATTTTCCTCACTGAAACAATGGGGATGGCCATTTCTTCACAAAGTTGCTATGAGAATTGAATAAAATGTGGTGTGTAATACCTTAGGGTTGGGATTGGACTTATTTAATTGCATGAGGAACTCCCTCTACCAGTGTATGTAGGCACCTTCTCTTCACCTCATAATCTTTGAAACTGACTGTCTCAGGACATCGAGAGGTGAAGGGACTTACCCAGGGTCATATAGCCAGTCTGTGTCAGGGACAGGGTTTGAGCTCATGTTCTCCTGGTTGTGAGGACTGCTCTTTCTCCACTATGTGCCATTGCCTCTTTTTTTTTTTTTTAGGCCGTTGGGATTAAGTGACTTACTTGGTCACACAGCTAGTAAGTGTCAAGTGTTTGGTCTGAGGTCAGATTTGAACTCAGGTCCTCCTGACTTCAGGGCCGGCACTCTATCCACTGCACCACCTCGCTGCCCCATACCATTACCTCTTTGCAAGCCCTGAAGTGGTGTAGAAATGCCAGCTTTCACCATCATCATCTTCAGAGTTGTTTGTGTGACTGTCATATACTCTGGACTGTAAGCTCCATGAAAACAAGCCCAGATTCTTAACTAAACTTAGCAAGACCCTATCTTGGCAGAGTACTCTGCACACACAAGATACTTAATACTTGTTCATCAAAGGCTAGTTAGGATGGAAGATAATACAATTCAGAACAGATCATTTGACCCAGATTTACAAAGTTTGGCCAAAAATATTTTATTGGTGTTCTTTTTTATATGTCTGTTACTTTTTAGTGACTGCACTGAACCTCAAAGATCCC